TTATTGTTTTCGGAGTCATTTGAAAACGCAATTCGGATGACTAGTCCTGAAAAGCTTTACCAGAGCCCATCTTAGCCGTCAAAGACGTTTCCATTCGGCACTACGAGGAAGTGAAGGGTTGGATTTTGCCGAACTAGAAACATAACTCAACTTTTTCCCTATAAGCGTCACATAGAGCAAGCTCTTAGCTTCAACTTTTCCAATAAAAGCCCCAAGCAAATGTACGTGGAGCTGAATCTAGATAAATAACCCAAAAAATTGGGTCGTTTTTGCTTGGGAGGTATTTTATCCCACTGTTCGATGTGCTCGGTCAAATTTCACTTTTGACTGATACCTTATATTTTAAGGTGTTTCCGTAAAATATAAGACCTCAGAAAATCAGTATTGTTCACTTTAAACGCGAAGGAAACAATATTCTGGAAAACTGATTTTGTCATTCGATAGAGCTCATAGAGTTCTATCTGGCACACTTATTTCCAGAGATGGCACAGATTTAATAAAAAATATTAGGCGAATATATAGAAATCTGCTGCCTTACGTATTTTCTTTCCACTTAATTGGTTTTTCTATAATAAGACCTTAGTATATGAGACGAGAACAGGATTCCCAACCGCAGCTCTAGTATCAATGCGTTTTTCTGATTTTTTCAGAACCCTGGACGAGAATGTAAGAAAGGCACGACATGTTGCTCGTCTGCATAAATTTCGCTTTTTCCGATCTCTAGAAAAATACGCCACTGGAGATCTTTTCTTTTCTACAAAGATTGGATTCATTTGGACTCTCTAAGCCGTAGAAAACAGAGCAGCTCGAATACTACTAATAGGCATCAAAAATCTCTTCACACCTACAATTACTTCTTTGCAAGAACTAGATAATAGAAAACATTTTGCAAAAAAAATAGATACTGTCTTTTCGCATATAAACAGGTGCAGAACACAGTTGCATGAAAACTATACCTTTACCAGTATGGGTTTTCCTTTGAGCTTAATTAGATTACTTTCATTTTATCTAAAACACATGCTTTCTAAAGAAAACTCTTCTACAGTTAGTCTGTAGAACAATTGACGTCATACTGCATCTTGACATGAAGGTTTAGAACATGAGCTTAGGTTTGCTCAGATCCATGTAGACAAGCAAAGGTAATGGTAAAGCCGGTATCTGTCGTTCTTACCGGTAGTACCGTTACCGTCTGATCGGTCTTATTGGTTCTCGTATTGGTTTACCATTAGGCATGCAATAGTTTCTGTTAACTGCAACTGCAGAACTGAGGCACAGCAAACTGTTGTTATTTAATAAAAATAATTCCTTTTGCATTGTCTGCCTCAAAGAAGCATTTTCAAGCATTGAGATTCAAGACAAAAATGTAGCAAATTTAATACTCTAAATTCAAAAATCGAGCTTCGAGAATAAAATTTAGAAAATTTAATTCTGCATTTTTTTCTCTCTTGGCTTAAACTTCTAAAATGCTTTCTTCAAGGTGATAATTTGATACTTAGGGAAAAATTTTATAGTATATACCGATTGTATATGCTCATCACTTTTGTTCAGTATCTTTTTTAAAATGTTGTATTTGCTCTAATAAAGCCCCTCAAGGCTAAATACTAGCGTAGAAACTATTTCTTATAACGTAAATTTAAAACAAAATATTAAAATTTTTATATTGTCTTTTGTCGTTCGCTTGCAGAAGTTTGATATCAATCTGCGAGTGAGAGTAAAGTCATTGATAAGTTAAACAAATGATTGATTGGAAGCTTTCGTTAGGAAATATTCAGCGCTAAGAGTTCCATCTGAAAACAGATTTAAAGATCGACCACAGAGCCCGGGGCCTTTAAACCACTTTCCATTACCTTTTCTAAACTACGTCAGATGCTGTCTTTTCCAATGTCCTGTAATTAGCGTTACATAATATATGAATTTTCGCATGTTGTAACAATCATAAGAGCACTAGCATTTTTTTAAATTCCTACTTCCCATCCGTGGCCAAAAAAAGTTCTTCTTGCTTCAAAGAGTAATATGTACGCGAGGACGGCTGAAAACTCTGATGCAATATTTTATTACAATCTAATGATGCAATCTTACGCTCAATAAGAAGAAATATAATGACAGGGCAGAAAAAAAGAGAAAAGGTGATTGAGTGACATATGATTCCATTTTAAAGTCTTCGGTAAAAAGAAATTCAGAGCAAAATCCTCAAAAAGCCCCGTCTCGTAGTGGAAAAGCAAGAGGAGGATTATAGAGTAAATTTTTTGTATTTGATGATGAATGCTCAAATTATAAGTAAAACGTTTACCAACAGGTAAATTATTCCTGATTTGGGAATACCTGTTTCAAAAACAAGGTGATTTTTCTTCTCTTTTTCTGTTCGGAGTGTTCTGTTTACTGGAATAAACAATTGTCAACGTTTCCTCTGATGCGCTCAAAATATCTAGTGCACTGCAGCACGGGAGAAATAGTTCTGTCTGGAAATCAGCCGCGTGATAATAACGACTAAGTAATCAAAACGCTGAGTGCGAGGTTTCGAAAGAGTGAGGAAATTCTAGAGATTCGTATAAAAAAAACGCATACGAAAAGAGTACTAAAAATTAGTATGAAAAGTATTTTAAAAATTAATTGTTCTCCGTTTTAGTATATAAATAGTTAATTGTTTTCTATTGTTAATTAACCTTTCAATGGATCAGTGCAACGAAGGCGTCCAAAGGATTACTGGTCTGGATCAGGTAAGTAAAGCGAGTAACGAGCTTACTTAGGAGATTCCTAGTTTCTGTGAGCTAGAATCACACAGTAAACATTTTATAGACCAATCAAGGAACTATATTTCTACTTAGCAGGATGGTGATCCGGAGTGTTTATTGGAAACGTTGTTCGAAAACTGCAAGGAAGCAGTTGCACAGACTACAGCTCTAATATGCAACGGAGAGCTAATCGAGGAAATCAATGATGATCAAAAACAATATCTGAAAGGATTTCAGAAACAAGATCCGCATGGCGTTCAGCTAAAATCGATCCATCTCATCAGGTTCAAACAGTTCCGAAGCGTTCAGTTCGGTCTGGCTGGGACATTAACTGTATTAGTTGGCCCGAATAACGCTGGTAAAACTACTACGTTTCTTATTCTGTATTCAAATGAAACGAAAGAGCTTGCACTGCGTGCTAGAGTTATATGGGTTACTGAAGAAGAAGAAGATGAAGAAAAAATTTTGGTGATTATTGAAACAATGACTGATGAAACGAAATCTATTAATATTAGACACGATATCTTATATCATTACTACAATATGCGCGGTTATGGACTGTCTATTATCGATTACGATAAATTAAAGGAACTGCTCCCAAATGTTATAGCGTTTAATAGTGATACGGTGTTAACTGCAAAAATAAAAGATGCCTTGTATGGTTATCGGTTTGATGTTATTACTAAAGAAATGGAGATAGCATTTCCAAGATTTAAACTAGACTGGGATAAGCAGATACACTTATCTGATGGAATTCGTGGGCTCTCAGAAGATGCTGATATACGTTTATGCAGTGAAGGTCTATTACACTACCTAAGTTTGATCTGTATGCTAATAAAGGCCGATTCACGTACGATGTTTATTATGGATGACCCTGACGCACATATATTTTTAAATGCACAACGTTCTTTAATCGATTTTTTCCGTCGCCAATTAACTGATGATAAGGGTTTTCGACAAATGGTAATCACAGCTCATTCGCCTAATGTTATACAAGAAGCTTATTTAAATGAATTAAGACAAGTACATTCTGCATTTTGTCAACATTTGAGATTACCTGATTTTTTACAATCACCCGTGATAAAATCTCTTACCGAACGTAATGACTTATTAGAAGGTATGAAAAATATAGGACACAGTGACCTTGTGTACATACAAGAAATTATTATTACTGGAAAGTACCAGTGATTACGCTTTTCTGTATGCTTTAATTCGTCACGCACGTCCAGAACTCCTGCCATTACTTTCTTTCGTACTACCTCAGTCACACGGTGGTCGTTTCAACAAAGAACAAATTAACAATTTGGCGAGAGGAATTAGCTCAATGTTACCAGAAGGTCAAATTTTACATATCTTTGTCTTAGTTGATGCTGATTTAAAGTTTAAAAGTATTATCAGGAACGAAGAAAAAGATATTAGGCAATTAGGGACATCGCCTGAAAAGAAAAGACTCTTTTCAACATACTATCATTGTTGGGCAGCGAGAGATTGGGAAAATTATTTATTGTCTAACACAAGTATAATCTGTCAAATTCTTACAAGCAATGAACCAACATTTCGAAATTCTGATGCTATTCAAAAATTTAGAGACAAATTGAAAAAACGATATGATGCGAATAATAAAATACAATCAATTAATACGGTTCTACTATTTTCTGTTGATGATCTGTTGAATCCAGCTAAACTCATCTATGTTAAAGAACATAGTAATGGAAAATCATTAGGATTTGGAAAAAGTGTTACGTGGCTAG